GAGGAGGAAGAGGAGGCCAAGGAGGGAGGGTAGGCGAAAGAGGGAGGACGAAGAGGAGGGCGAAGAGGAAGGGGTGGACGAGGAGGAGGAAGAGGAGGAGGATGAGGAGGATGAGGAGGAGGAGGAGGAAGATGAGGGGGAGGAGGAGGAAGATGAGGGGGAGGAGGAAGAGGAGGAGGAGGAGGAGAAGGAGGAGGAGGAGGAGGAGGAGGAGGAGGAAGAGGAGGAGGAGGAGGAGGAGGAGGAGGAGGAGGAGGAGGAGGAGGAGGGTGAGGGAGGAGCAGGGGGAGGGAGGAGCAGGAGGAAGGAGGGCGGGAGGAAGCAGAAAAGGGCGGACGAACAGGCGCCGCGCGGCGCAGCGAGCGCGACCAGGGAGACACGGGGCCCCCCTTGACCCTTTGGGCACTTCCACCGGCGCCCGGAGGATTCCGATCCCGCAGTCCTCGCCGCCGCTCCACGGGGCGCAGCACTCCCAGAGGGAGCCACCAGCCGAAGCGGCCCTCGCGGACATCGAGGCGATGGTGCAGAGGCACTGGCAGGAGCTCCATGGCAGGCTCCGCCTGCTGCTGGGCGGAGAGGGGCAGTCGGAGACCGAGCCCAGCCAGCGGAGGCGTGGTGGGGGGGGCCTGGCGGAGGTGCAGGGGCAGTGCTCTCTGGAGACCAGGCCATGGGGCTGCGCTACGCCGCGGTTCTCGGCCCGCGAGAGCTTTCGCCAGGGGGGCTCCGCGTCGCTGGAGTTCGAGAGCTATGCGAGCTCCGCCGCGCAGTCTGCTGCATCCCGGGCCAGACCGTCCCTGCGCGCGAGCGTCCGGCCAGTCACCCGCTTCTTCTCCGGCAACGAGCCGCGGCAGTCGGAGTCCGAGTCGATAAACGGCGGGGCGAACAGGTCCTCCTCTTCCTCCTCCTCCTCCTCCTCCTCCTCCTCCTCCTCATCATCATCATCCCTATCCTCCTCCTCCTCCTCCTCCTCCTCCTCCTCCTCCTATCCTCCTCCTCCTCATCATCATCATCATCTCATCATCATCATCATCATCATCATCATCATCAGTCCTCATCCTCATCCTCCTCCTCCTCCTCCTCCTCCTCATCCTCCTCCCCACCCTATCCTCCTCCTCCTCCTCCTCCTCCTCCTCCCCTCCTCCTCCTCCTCTTCCCTATCCTACTCCTCCTCCCTATCCTCCTCCTCCTCCTCCTCCTCCCTCCTCTTCCTCCTCCTCCTCCTCCTCCTCCTCCTCCTCCTCCCCCTCCCTCCTCTCCTCCCTCCATCCTCCTCCTCCTCCTTCTTCTCCTCTCGCCCTATCCTCCTATCCCACTGGGCGTACGAGACTTTCGAGTCTGTGTTTATTTTTCTGAACGCGCTCATCATCGCATGGGAGACAGAGGTCGTCGCCGATCGCGCCAGCAGGGGTGTAGAGCTCAGAGTCAAGGCCTTCGACGTGCCAATGTATTTCTTCTGCGCGATCTTCACGGCCGACATCTGTTTGCGGCTGTTCGCTGAACGGAGGCATTTCTTGTGCTCTGCGGAGTGGAGATGGAATTTTTACGACGCTTGTTTTGTGGTGATCTCCATCGTGGAGGTTGTCACCACAATCGTCTCCGAAATCACAGGATCTGAACGAGATGCTATCTGGAAGCGGTCTGCTTTAGTGCGCATCTTGCGGTTGATTCGGCTCATCAAGGTTGTACGGGCTTTCCGGCACGTGTTATTGTTCCGTTATTTGCGAATCATGGCGGCCTCTTTAAGAGAGTCGATCGTGCCGTTGATCTGGTTCTTGCTGATTTTGTCTGCAATTCTCATGGTTTTCGCAATCGTATTCACCAACGCCACGGCCTCCTATCTGCTCGATGAAGGCCTGGTGGACAGTGCCTCGACGGGACAACTTAGGGAGTACTACGGCTCGTTATCCCGCTCCATGCGCACCCTCTTCATGGCCATCGCAGGTGGCGTTGACTGGGAGAGTGTCGCGACTCCGCTTGAGCCTTTGTCCGCCGTGTACATCATGATATTCTACGGGTTCATTGCGTTCGTGATGTTCGCTATGCTCAACGTAGTTAACGCCATCTTTATCCAGCTGGCTGCGGCAAGTCCCGCAACCGTGCCAGCCCAGCAAGCTGGGTGGCGACTGTTCGAGGGGGCACGGACGGCCGTCACGAGTGGCACCTCTTACTTCCAGGTTCGGGACAGCCGTGATGAAGATGATAAGGAATACGAGGATGATGGAGATCATGAGGAGGAGCAGGAGGAGGAGGACCAGGATTTTGAGGAGAAGGAGGAGAACGAAGGCCGTCACATGTGTCTTCTCGTCTTCACTATTTGAGGAGCTGTCATTGAACTCGTTCGTACCGTCTTATGGCTGTCTTGGCATCCTGTGATGCAGTTTTGGTTGTGCACTGGGGCCCTCGTGGGCCGTCTTGAGGACGCTCTTAGACCGCATTGGGACTCTCTTGGGCCGTCTTGGGGCCCTCGTGGTCGCTGGGGGCCGTTTTTGTGCCGCCTTTGGCAGTCAAAGTGCCTTCTAAGGTCGCCTTGGGTCTCACAGGAGGCCTTGGGCCGTCTTGGGGCCGCCTTGGACGCTTCTTGGGCCATCGTGGGGTCGTCCTTGTGGGCCATAATTGGCGGGGCCCTCTTGGGGGCCTCTTGGAGGCTTCTTGGGTCGCTGTGAGTTGACGGTAACACGGGACCATCAGTTTAGCAGTTTGACGTTTCCGGACCTGTACATAGTGGGTCCTCGTGTGGCCGTTTGGATTTCTCTTGGAAGCATCTTGCGCTGCCTTGACGCCCTATTGGGCCGCCCTGGGGCAATCTTGGGCCGTCTTCGAGGCATCTTGGGCTGTCTTGTTTGTCTCGGTTGTCGTGGGCCGTCTCGGAAGCTCGGGACGCGGACGCAACTGCTGGTTTTCCCTCGGGAGCGTAGCCTCGACAGCGCGGATCCGCAGTTTCATATTAGGGATCGTGGCCTCGCGAGTAGGGGCCCTGCACGGGATGGGGTGCATCTATATTTTTTGGGGGGTCTTACCATAATGTTGAAACCATACCAGGTAGTACCTCAGAGCCCCGAATCATCAGGGGTAACTCGGGTCAGGGATAACTCGGGTTCGTTTTTCGGGAATCCAAACCCGAGTTAGGCCGGACCCGAGTTATCCCGGATAACTCGGGCGTCCAGAGCCCCGAATCATCAGGGGTAACTCGGGTCAGGGCTAACTCGGGGTCCTTTCTCGGGAATCCAAACCCGAGTTACCCCGGACCCGAGTTACCCCGGATAACTCGGGCGCCCAAGTACCTGGCATTCTACCTCGCCTCAACGTGCCAGGGGGCCTGGTGGCGGATAGACAGCATCTTGCTGAGGTCCAAGAATGACAGGGAGTATGTTGTCCAAACCCAAATTCACGGGCAGAAGGAGTTCATGAATAGGATGGAGCAGCTCTTTGACGAGCTGGACCACGACCGATCTGGTCATATCAGCCTCTCGGAATTGCGCGAGAAGATTGTGGATGCCAAGGTGATCGCGTTTCTGCAGGCCCTGAAGATGGACGTGCGGCAGGTGGGGAAGTTGTTCAACCTGCTTGACACTGACAAGTCGGGGACGATCGACAAACAGGAGTTCATGGTCGGTTGCACGAACCTTCGTGGAGAGGCTATGCAGCTGGACGTGGCCATACTGCAGGGGGAGACGCGGTCACTGAAAGAGCTCGTGATGCGATTGGCCGACCATTTGGATGACCGCCTCGAGCTTCTCTTACCAATACCGAGGCTCAATGATGATGCCCCAGCGGGGACGAGGGATACTATGTCCAGCACGTTCAGCATGTACGGCGACACGCGCACCGAGCACGTCCCAAAGGACAACGACGTCCCAAGCACGCCTGGACGCACCGCGGCAGCGTGAGCACGGCTCGTCATATCCTGAGCACGACTGCGCTCTGGCCTAACCAGCAGAGCGCATTCTTGGAATACCAAAATGGCAGCACGCACATGCACTTGTTCGGAGGTCCTCGCGGAATTCTCGGATCCGCGCTGGGCCCCCCTGGCAGTGCCTCTGGCGCGGGCCCTGGCGCAGTCCTGCGCGACAGGGAGGGGGTCCAGCGCCGCTCCAAGACATCCTCGCGGACCTGAGCAAGCTTATGTTCATGCTGGTATGTTTCAGCCTATGGGCGGAATACCGGCGGCGCCAGGCCAGGAGGGGCGCCGCAAGGTTGACCGGTGCAAGCGGCTCACGCGCGCGTCCTCAGGTCTCACCGGTGACGGCCCAGAGAGCCCAGAGGTGAAGCAGAGACCACCACCGCCGAGAACCCATCGGGGGGGGGCACCCCTGGGCGATGGACCGCCTGAGCGTCGTCAACACAGGGTGACGCTCACGCTGGCCACCGCCCAGGCTGGACTGAGACTGCCATGGGATAGATCCTTCAAGAGCGCTTTAGATTCCAGAGATCCGCGATGTATCATGTTCTGGCTTCTGCCTGCCCTGGCCTCGTCTTCTCCTCGGTGGCGTTGGCTTCTGTCTCTCCTCTGATGAGCTGTTCTTCTCCAGGGGTCCGGCGCGAGGGCGAAAAGGGGTAGTCTCGCCACGCGCCTCGCTCGGTGCGAGGCGCGACATCAGGCAGCCTCGCTGTCCTGGGGGACGTGATGGGTCCTCCCCACACGGGCCATGCTCAGGGACAGCGTTGGGGGGGGATCGGCTCAGTGGGGGGGATGCATCGACTCCCATTCGCCCATCGATCGCCGATGGGTGCCCGATAGCCCGCTCCGTCCAGGAGCTTGCGGATTCGTTATCGGGGGCTTATCGCCGACCTGTCGGCGAGACATCGTCGATTCCAGTTCAAGTGTCCCCCCTGAGCTGGTTCCCACCTATCGTTACTCCTCAGCCCGCGGAGATCGAGCAAGCTGCCTTTTCCACGCCGCCGCCTGCTCGTAGTAGGTCCCCTGGGCGCTCCTGCCGCTGCGCCCGCGGATACGACTCCCGGCGGAGCCGGATCGTGCTGTCGTGGGCACTGACTTGCAGATGCCGCGGAGGCGGCAGAAAGGCGTGAGGTGCCGAGGCTGTGAATTCTTGCGCTCGTCGGGCGCGTGCCACGAGGCGCGCCGTCCCTCCCCCCATGCCCTCGCATGTCGCATGCCCCCCTCCTCGTGCTTCTCCCTCCGCGTGTCATGCGTCCCCTCCTCCTCCCCTCTCCTCCCCCCTCCTTCCCCCTCCGTCCTGATCGCTCCCCTCTCCTCCTCCTGATCGCATGCCCCTGCTCACATGCCTCCTGATCCTCCTCCCCCCTTGCTCCCCCTCCTTCCTGATCGCATGCCCCCCTCCTCCTGCTTCTCCCTCCTCCTTCCCCCTCCGTCCTGATCGCTCCCCTCCTCTCCTCATATCGCCAGGCCCCCGTCCACGTCCTAGTCCTCCATTCGTGTTCTCCCTCCGCAGGGACACATCATGAGTACTACCCCCTCTTTCTCCTGACGATGTCCTTTCGTGGCGCGGCTCTCTCATTGCGTCGTTTCGCTCGCACGCAGAATTTCGCAATGTAGCATATCATGTGCACCTTTCCCCCATCAGAGCGTCTTTGCTATGTTAAAAGCCAGCTCCCGCTGGGACGCCTCGAGCGGTTCGCTGGTTTCGGCTCCTCCGACTTCTCAAGCCCATCCTCGTCGCTGCCGTCCCCCTCGTTTCCACTCCTCCCCCTGCTCCTGGTCCTCATGCTCCTGCTGCTCCTTCCTTCCGCTTTTCCTCCTGATGCCGTCCTCCTCTTCCCTCCTCCTACTCCTCTTCATTCTGCGTATTCTTCTGATCGTCAGCCACCTCCTCCTCCTCCTCCTCCTCATCATCATCATCATCATCCTCTACCTCCTCTACCTCCTTCTCCTCCTCCGTTTCTTCTTATGCAGAATGTGCATCGAGCGATGGGATCAGTTTAAATATCAGGTTTCTGTATGACACCGAAGTCGACGGATGGGAAGGAATTCAGCAACATGGGAATGGCTGGGTGGGAGGGTCAGGATGCCAGATATAGCGCGAGCGCACTTGGCTTGCCTCTTTCCCCCCCCCCCTTCCTTTCCCCTCCCGCCCCCCCCCCCTCCCCCCCTCTTACTCCTCTTCCTTCTTATATCCCAACGTGTTCGCAACGAGCATCGCAACAAACACCATCAGGGCACCTTCGGCTACACCCAGTTGTAAATAGTGGCACCTAGCCACACATTGTTACACATACATCTAATTCGTTATGTATTGCGCGTGTCCCTTATCGTCCCCCAGTGTGCTGAGAACGAGCGTCGCGACACACGCCATGCAGTGCTTTCGGCTTCACCCTGCCACCTAGTTTTACCTGGCCGCACATATTACTCAGTTAGCGTTTATTCGCACATGGTTACACGACACTTGACATCATGCCGCCGAAATGTTGCAAACTATGTGTGTATAACTAAGAACGTATATGTGCATCACATGCGCGCGCCATGTTGCAATTATCGGGAACATGGCTGACATGATTCTTCTCTCAGCATCGGACATCATCGCAGCCTTATGCATCCCTCGAAGGCGGAACCTCGATGTTTGATCCTCGTCAGCACCTCAATCCACGTCCACGATATTCGGTAATCGTCAAAGCTGGGATCCTCGAAGCTTGATCGTCGCTCCTCGAAACCCAATCGTCGCCCTCATCTTCGAACATCGGTTGAGGCCTCGCTCCTCGAACTTGTGCCTCCGCGTCGATCATGGACCCTCGGCCCTCGATCGCCAGTCCTGCCCACCATCTCGAGCGTCGGCACTCAGTCCTCGAGCCCCTATCCTCGCCACGACTCCGATCCTCGGCTCCCGCCCTCGGCCTCTAGAGGCCTCCTTAGTGGGGTCGGAGTAGATAAGGGGTCGGGGGATCGCGCCGCATCGCCGATGCATCGTCGACGGGGGCGAGGCATCGGCGACGCCGACGTGAAGGACATTGGGCTCCACGTCGGGCCGCATCGGCGATGCATCGGCGATGCGGCGTGATCCTCCGGCCCCATCTGCTCCGACCCCATCTGGGAAGCCTAGAGCCTCGCACGTGAGCTCCGCCAGGCCTCGGAGGGCCAGGGGCCACGGCTCTGCGAAGGCCCTGCCGGGCATCACGCGACAGGACACATGCAGTGGAGGCCCATGCCAAGAAGCACCCTGCTTGCCTCCCGGGTGCCCTGGATGTCTTGGGTTTCGATGGTTTTGCGATGGAAAGCGTAGCGCTCCCACACCAAAAGTCAAGGAACGTCCTGGGGGTTCAGGGTTGGGTTTCTTGTGGGACGTTTCTTGTGGACTGGCCTCCACTGTAGCCCATCGCCAGGTCATGAGGACGAGGCGCCTTGCCTGGCACCTGGAGTGGAATCGGAATCGGAAGGCGCTGCGTAGATGTGCTGAGCTTGACTCCTTGGGGGAAATATGAGAGCGAGGTCTCGCGAGTCCAGCGCGTAACAGCAGCCGTGATAGGCGATGGCAAGGGGAGAGTTGTCCCAGCACATGTCGAGTCATTGAGTTGGGGTCGCAGTCGCCACCAGTATCTCCATCCATCGTTCGCCAGAGACGCGTTCGATTATGCTCCGCGACCTCGCCTCAACTTCGCAGCACTGTGCGCCGACAAATCCGTGAAGCCTTGCCATCTTTGCCGCAAATTGACACGATTCTGAAGGCAAATGTCGGCATGAATCACCCCTTGAACTCGCCTGGCGGCCAACCGACGACCTCGTCACTTTGGTCCACGCCTCCGGATGGTAGAATGTTCATTCCAGGTCGCCGGTTTCGAGGGCTGCTGGGGAAACCAGCAGCGCGTGAGAGTGACCCTTCGCCGGAGCGACCTTTGGTGCTGGCCCAAAGGGGGTCGGGTGATATTTCTTCTGGAATGAGCTTGACCTCGCGTCGGCACCTGCATCGCGTGGTTACTCTCGCATTTGTTCGCGCCAGGTTTGGGCCCACCCCTTGCAATCGACAGCAACGCATACGCGTCGCACCCTACAGGTTGCATGTGTTACCCGAGGGGGAACCGGTCGATCAGACGGCGTGCTTTCCAGCCCAGGACCAGTTCCGAATCCCAGCCGAAATCCCAAAACGTCTGGCTTGAATACCGTTGGATATCTTTGAATATATTTGAATATATTTGGATATGTTTGAATATGTTTTTCGAACCGATGGGGACCTTTACTAATAGAAGTTACCCGAAGATATTCAAACGGATTCCTGGCTCTCGGATGGGGCCAGTTTTGGCCATGACGCTGGGCCTGGTCAGGTGTCATCGCAATACAGCCCACCAGTGCCAGACTTCATCGCGGTGGCCCCCGGCAACGTCTGCTTTCGAAGCGCCTTCGAAGTGCCATTCGGGGCGCCCGAATTCAATCGGCGGAATTCCGCGGTTGCCCGCTGGCACAAAAAAAACTTTCGAGTGGCGCCCCGCCGATCGCTCATGCGGCGCGGCAGCGCGGGCTTGAGCGATTGTGTTGGTCCCCCACAGGCGCCCCTGAAACCGCGCACCAAAGGTCACATGTTGGATTTCGCCATCCTCGGAGGCCTGCGAATTGTAACACCGTTGCATTTTCGAGGACTGCTGGAGGGGCCAGCAAAGTGGGTACAGCACAGTACGAGCGCGACCATGGCAGCGCGCCTGGCCATAACATTCGAATGTGGCTGCGGCAAACTGCTTGTCAAGCTCGCGAACATGCCGGCCCCAAGTGCTGCAAGCACGCCCCCTCGAGCTGCAAGCACGCGTGACAGCGAAGTAGCCATGCGCACGCAGTGCGATCTCGGAATACCAGGCCTCGAGGAACATTGCAATCGGGGCTGCCCAGCAAATCGCGAGACTGAGTCTTGCGGAGCAAGCGTGCGCAGAGGCTGCCGGCAGCCCTGGATTCGGGATTCAGGGCCCCCTGTTAGTCCTGGGCTCAGTCTTCGCCCAGTGAGTGAGCATCGCGCCAACATCGCCGTTCGGGGAACATTCAGATGGGCCTGGATTGTCTTGGAGAGTGTCGTTCTGGATTTCGATGTGAGTTTCGTGCGAGGAATGAAGACTACAAAACATCCACGTGAAATTCACGTCGTTTTTCGCCTGCTGTTTCGGGGTTTGCATTGACAGAGATCCACGCACGAATCCGCTGCAGCACTTCTGCAGGGGGGGCGCAATGATGAATGACACTGGGGGCGGTGACGCGTCGGGGGGGCCTCGCACCAAGGGTATGAGCATGTGCAGACGCGGCTGGTCGCACGTCTACCTCGATTGGGCGGCATCGCCTTGGTTGGGGAGATGCGCGCGGCGAGCTGGGGGCATGGCAGGCCGATGCAGGGCCGAAGCGCTTGCTGTTCTGCAGTGCGGCCGCGGTGTTCCCAGGCCCCACCCGGACCTTGCATGCCGGCGTTTTATATGCCCTGTGCGGGGCCCAGCCGTCTGACTGAGCGGCCTCTTTCTGTTCCGCCCATCAAGTTCTTTCCCGCGCTTTCGTGTCTCACGTCGCTCCGGTGCGCCCCGACGTCTGCTCCGCGGGTGCCTGATCGCTTGCGTCCGTGAACCCAAAAGTGGAGCCCAGCCGCACGGGCAAGGACTGCTTGGGCTCTAACGAAGGGACGTGTCGAGCCAGCTCGCGCCTGCTCTTCAAGCACCGTTACGTGTGCACGGAAGGAGTCTGCGCGAGTCCCCAATAAGTTATGCTTATGCAGTGTTTGTTCTTTCTCTGCGTGCGCACAAGAATGGAAGCCGCAGGAGCGAAACCTGCCTTCGGTAGGCCCAGGCGAAGCCGATCTGGGCCACGTCTGGCAGCATAGCCGGTGCCTCGGCGGAGCAGGCTTCCGCGCTGCTGTCTTCGCCAGAGCACGAGGCGCAGGAAGAACGCAGCAGTGCCGAGGAGATGGCGCGAAAGGCTGCCCATCACGGTTGCCCATCACAGCGTGGCCGTCATGCAGCACGCCCGTGCTCTTTTCTCTGAGCGGAATTCGAACCAGCACGGCCTGACTTCGCCACGAGCAGAGAGGGGTAGGGGGAGGGGGGGGGCCTCCTTAGAAGCATCCATGCTTCTCAAAAGGCGCAGGCCTTATCTGTAGATGCAGGGCCGGCGCCTTCTAAGAAGCAGCCTCTTGCGAAGAAGTTC